TATATATATAGTGGTGGTTGGGAGGGTGGAGGTGGGTGTGGTGGGCAGCTAGAGCTGGGTGTAATCTGAAACAGATCTGTTCTATTTAGGCAACCACTAAAGCAAGAAGGAAGATCCCTGGATGAGTTTAAACCCGTTTTAAAGATACTAATTATTTTCTAAATGTATGTTTCACAATCATCAGAGACTCAGAGTGTGAGATTCTTTTTTTTTTTTTGAATTACCAACTTAACAGGTTGAAATTATGAAATCAGATGGAAATGAGATTTCTGTAAAGTCAAAGAGAGTCTGGGTTTATTTATTATCATTAAAGAACAGGCTGGTTAAAAGGCTTTACAAATACAATTGGATTATGTAAGATTATAAATAAAATAAATTCTGAACAGAGCTGTTTTGAACTTTTTAACTAAATTGTGCCGTTGTTCTCAACACTAAATGCATATTTAGTATTTTGTGCTTATTGTTTTCCTCAACTAACCCTGCTGTGGGTAGTGGGTGTAATTTATTTATAACTTTGCTGAAAACACGTCTCAGGAGTCAGGTTTCTGTTTCTAACATATGACCAGAGTTTAATCATGTGCCTCCGGTTCACTGTTTACTATTTTTTATGGCTCAGGGCTTTGGATGAAAGACGGAAGCTGTGGGACGTTCAGGAGAAACGTCTGAGGGAGAACATCCTGCAGCAACGCAAACAACAAGTACAGGAGGCAACCGAGCGCTTCCAACGGGCCCATCTACCTCCTCAGAGATACAGGCCATGTTGGTGCTTTATGTGGACGGCTTATGATGTGCCAACAGAACTGACACTTACACTTTACTTAAGTGATTTCCTTTGTGTTGTTAAAGCTCTCAGAAGAGACGCTCCAAATATTGAAGATGCACTCGATCAAATCCATGGCAACTTGAGTTCACACGGTCAGCAGTCCTCTCTGTCCAGCACCACAAATATTAGCAGGTAAAAATATATTTTTAAAAATGTACATTTCCTTACTGTACACTCAGAATGATTGCTGTAGTGTAGTGAATGAATCATTCTATCAATATAAGGTTACATGTTGTCAAAATGCTGATGTCCACCCAGAGGTGCATTTAGTCCATCTCAATTTCTATGGGGCGTCAGGTGTAAAATAAAATGTTAAAAAATTTCACTAACATATTTTTCATTATCCATTAGGTACTGCTGGACCACAGGTACCACCTATTTAACTAGCAGTGACCATTGTTGATGTTTGCTGCAGGATGATGACATCATCCCGGTTATCTGACGCTAACTTCCGCTAGCGTTTCTAACACTACTAAAAATATTATTTAAAATCTAAATTCAAAATGTGTTAGTAATAATTTAAAAAAAAACAATATGGTGTTCCAGCAGTTTGAAGTGCAGCTCAGACACCAGCTATACCTGCAAGTTTAGGGAAGCTATAGCTGCATTGGAGCGCTAGCGGTTGCTATTCTTCTTCTTCTTCTTTTCGTTTATTGGCGGATTACAAACAACTTTTAGGTGCATACCGCCGCCTACTGTATAAGAGTATGCAACTCCGTGGCCTCCACAGTCTAAATTCTATTTTTTAAAAGCGGTTGCTATTGTCTCAGGATGATGACATCATAACATGAGCCGAGCGCCAACAGCAAAGGCTGCGTTCCATTCCAAAATACCAAACTTCAACATTAAACTTCATCATTTAAGGTTTGACTTTTACATTTAGATTTAAATGTTTAGATTTATGACCATATTTAAATAAATTTTTTAAAATTTAAATTTAGCAAAAAAAAAATTAACACTCAAAACAAGGTAAATAATAACAAATATGTTTTACACTTGGCTCCCCATAAATTACCATTTCTTATGAAAAAGTTTCTAAATTAAATTGAAGATCTAAATTCAGTGATTTACAAATGTAAATAAAATAAAAGTGATGCTGCATGCTCCCTGAATCACTCGTTCCAATTTTGCGCGCAGTCGATCCTGACACTATGTTGGAAAATGCCAGTAACAATTACAGGTTTGAACCGTGGGAACTGGACACGATGAGCGTATCCCTTCACTCACCACTCTTTAACCTGATCTGCCTACGCCTGTGGAACAGTGTATAACTGGACCCTTTGACCTTTGTCCATTGCTCTGGAGTCTAATCTTAATGCCCCCTGCAAACTGAAGCTTTTCATTGATTGCTCTCACTGATAAGTGGTCTGCTTTTGGCCACACAGCTGTTTTGTCCCAATATCTTGAGCTTTCTGGGCAGTGTGTTTGCAAATACGCTTTTTATCCTTGATATTAAATGATGTTATAATTTCACCGAAGAAGAAATCTCTAATTATGACTATTGAGTTTGTTTTTTTTTAACCACAATATCCTTCCATCCATCTATTATCTTCCACTTGTTCTGGTTGTGGGGCTCTTTTGGGAGATTTCCAAAGCCTTCCCAGGCTCCTGGCACAACATACTGCAGAAGCTGCACTGATCCTTCTGGTCATTTCATGCTCCTTACATTTCTCCAAACCCTGAGATACTTCATAATTACCTACACCAAACCTCCAGCCATATTTTGTCCTTAAAAACTATGATTTATCGACACCTTTTTTCATCGTTCCTCCTTTGATATCTCTGACAGTTTAGTAGTCTGAACAGTCACCTTACTTTTGTTTGCTTTAAAGTGGGGGTATTATGTATAATTTTCCAGGTACATAGTTCAATTATGTACCACAATCAAGTAACTTTTTTTGTGTTTTAGTCTATCTAAACACCTTGAAATTGGCCGCTGTCTCTTTAAGAACCCCTTACCGTCCGTTTCCGACACTTCCACTTAAGCAAATACTTGAGTAATTCCAGGGGATGGCTTCTTTTGGCTGACAGGTTATTTATTTTATCTTATTTTTTGCTTATACTTTTGTTCTTTTTACTTACTGGCTGACTAATGTATGTTTTATTTTCATCTTCTTTCTTTGACTTGGAAGAAGCAGCACTCCATCACCTGCACCTCCCACAGCTCCTAAGTTCTCCCACGGCCAAGCGCTGTCTGCGGTGGAGGCTTACGTTAACCTGCTTCAGGAGCAGTGCGGGGTAGAAACGCTTCAGCATCTGCAGGTATTTGGTTGTTTTATGATCAGGCAGATGCACTGTATATATACTTTAAAAAGATGTATCATTTTGTCTCCAGGGGACAGAATTGTTGCTTTAAAACAAGTTATTTTTTATGTCCTCTGGATGAACGGGAAAAACCCTGCAGCTTCGCAAAGTTTAAGCTATCCTCATTTCTTCTGCTAAAATGTGGGGTCAATAATTTCAGATTTCTGTCCTAAAGCCAAACTGTCATGAACCCATAAATCTAGAATTTAGAAGTTTGTAAAGTGGCCGGAACTTTTTAATGTAAGCAGGGCGAACTCCTCTGGTTTTTTTTCTTAAGTTTATTAAAGCTAAAACTGAAACAAATGTCAGAGTTTAAGTAAAGTTTTGGCTAAAAGGTTAAAAACACTGTGTAATTTTAACTACCAGCCATATGTTTGTTCTAAAGACAAGTTGGTTATGTTCAACTTAATTTACAGTTTTTTCTGCGTTTGAGTAAAGCATGCATTCTTATGAGGTTCTGATTGTGGAAAAGATTCAAATATAATTTACAATACAACATTAAAGTACAAATTAGAAAAATTTAATTAAATCATATGTCATGCTTTTGGGTGAAATTTACACAGTTCAATTCCATTTTTTACATCTTAATATTGTTTATGCCTGTAGGGGGCAGCACTTTAAATAAAATTGGACCTTTTGGGTCAAAATGCAGGTTGGGGTTTTTAAGCTTCACATTTTCTATTTTCTAACTTAAAAAAATGTTTAACCTTGTGTTTTTTTTTTCATTTTATTAGTTTACATCTTTCCTCTTCATACAACGATGTTGATTAATTTTTTTTATATTCTTACCAGGACTCTTTTGCTTCCTTTTTTCAGGGCAGCCATGACTCTGATTGTTGTATTTCTGAAAGCCTTTCGAGTAAGGACAGCTTGGAGGACGAGGACTCAAACCAAAACCCATCAAGTCTGCATCCCTGCAGCTCCTTGTTTTTACTCGACTCCAAGAAGGCCCATTCACAGCAGAAGCAACGTGATTTGTGTCCAACATCATTTTCTTTCTCAGCAATGATGCTACTTGATGAAAATCTAACCCAGCTTAGAAAACTGCACGAACCCAAACGAGCAAAACAGGAGGACTCTGATTGGGCTAATAATGGCACGGTTGTTTCTGAGGCTTTGTGGGATTTCACTTCCATGGAGAAAACACCTAAAACAGAGAAGTGTCCCACACTACATAACACTGACTTGGTAGCTCCTTGTAAACTTCCTAAAGAGGATCAAGATTACTATGAAGTAAAATTCTTACAAAATAATCGTGACAGCAACCTCGTGACAAACAGAGTGGTTCTTGGCAACCCTGATGAGTCTCCATATTCCAAACCAGAGGCTCCATTAAATCTCAGAGAACAGAGGATCCTCCATGACGGCCAATTAAAATATCTATCCTCTTCAGATACTCCTTTCCCTTCCAAAAATAGCAGCAGCAAAGGCATTCATTTTGAGAATCCCCCCAAAAATAACGCGGACGATGATGTCACTAACAACAGAGTCCTTTTGCCCACAGAAAAAGAAAACTACGTGTCATCTCGGAAAATGCCCTGTGCTTCCATAAATGACCTCAACAAGGTTTCAAACTCAGAATGTAAAACTGAGAAGGCCGTGAATGCAGAATCCCTGTCGAACACAAGCTGGTCTATGGTTCCATCAGAAAGGCACGCGTCTCCTGAGGAGGCCAAAACAAACGTACCTGTTTCAGCGGCCACACCTCCGTCAGTGTGTAAAGTCAAAGTCATTAAAGGAATTCTTAAAAAACAGTCCAAATCCATGCCAAGAGACACTTCCTGTACACGTGGCTCAGACTATATGAGTTTTGCCAAACATGTAGCATTAGCATTAAGAGATAGTGTTGAATTAACAAGAGCAAAAAACAAAGATGTGCATGTCAGCAGCACTGTAAGAAAGAAGCTGCGTTGGTTTGACGAGGTCCGGTTAGGAGAGGACCACCAGCCGAGCCTCACTGAAGGGTTGAGGTCTCCCAAGCCGGGACCCAACATGACCCCTGCATCCTCCACTGGCTATCACTTTACAAAAGAAGCCTGGGCAGATGTTGGGGTTCAGGTCAACTTGCCCCAGGAACAAGCCGACGGGGTCGAGGTGGCGCACAGCAGCGCCAAGAACAGCGGCGGCCCCAGAGTCCCTCAGAGAGCCCGCTCTTCCAGAGGAGGGGGTCCTGTTTTCCTACGGACAAGAAGGGGCACTGTTATACGACCTCAATCTGCCACTGAGGTGAGTCAGATTGCCAAAACTCGGGGGGGAATCATGCCCCGCCCTCCTCCTCGGACAGAGAAAACGCTGCACGTCGTCAGGACTCCATCTGGCCTGAACCCTGCCGGCTTCAAGCATAAACAGGCCCTGGTTATGGAGGAGGCCCTGCCCAAGAACAACTCGGGGAGGATTTTCTCACCTAAGGCACATGATGTCATCACAACAGATAGTACTGTTGTGTACACAACTCTGCCACACTGCTTCCTGTCAGAGGGCAACACCAAAGGCGTGCCCATTTCAGGTCATCAGGAGTTTCATCACAACAGTGGAAGATTGTCGGTGTTCAGAGAAAAAGGCCTTTGTTTGGACGTCACTCCCACAGATGAAGAGATTTCACAGCTCTGGCATGGTGTCCGCAGTGCCCTGAACACAAAGGATGGTAATGTATATTTTGGCTGGTGGCCCTTCACACTGCTTAGGCTTAGTGAGGTTTACTGTACATACAGTTCACCTTGGGCTGATTCCTTTCCAGCTATAAGATTTTAAATATCTACTAAACAATGTCAGTTGATGCCTCGGCTTCTTTATCCACCAGTTTCCAGGGAATTTTTCCACTTTCTCTTAAAATGGCATCACATAAAATTAGGCTGCTTTTTTACAACTTCATTTGGAAGCTCTATTACTTGACAGTAACATCTGGGAAAGTGGAGTAAAAACACTTGCTGCCTCATGGTGGATGAGTTTGCCTGATCTTAAACCTGCGCCAGTTCATCCCGCAATGACATCATCATCAAATACTGTTAATAAATGATTTTTCTTTACATGAATGTGGAATTTTAGACGTGAAGGATTGATATTCTTTAGCATTTCATATTCTTACATTACAAAAGTGTGTAACAGGCCACAATTTGAAAAG